CATATGTTACCAACAACATGACAGTCAAAGCCACCGCTAAAGCCTTCTTTGACAACTTCATTGTTCATTATGGGATTCCACAGCGGATACACTCTGATCAAGGTGCTAACTTTGATGGGAATCTCATAAAGGAATTGTGCTTACTTACTGGCATGAAGAAGTCCAGAACCACACCGTATCATCCCATGGGCAATGGCATGTGTGAGAGGTTCAATCGCACTTTATGTGACATGTTTGGAACCTTATCACCTGACCAGAAGAGTGATTGGAAATCACATATTGGGCCTCTTGTACATGCCTATAACTGCACAAGGCACGAGTCAACTGGACAGTCACCATTCTTTTTAATGTTTGGTAGAGAGCCACGTCTTCCTTTAGATCTTGCTTTTGGGCTAGAACTTGGTTTGACACAGTCACTTGCAGAGTATACCAGATTACTCAGGGAAAGATTGAAGAAATCTTATGAACTGGCTGTGGCGTCAGCTAAAACATCTCGAGAGAGGCAGAAGAAAGGCTACGACATTAGAGTGAGAGGAGCCACACCACAGACTGGAGACCGCGTTCTAGTGAAAATATTGGCATTTGATGGTAAACACAAGCTCTCAGATAAGTGGGAAGAAGATCCTTACATCATTCTGCAACAGCCCAATCAAGATGTGCCCGTCTTTGTAGTGCAGAAAGAGAATGGTGAAGGTCGACAGAGGACTTTACATAGGAATCTTCTCTTGCCCATTGGTGCTCTTCATGACCCTGGAGAGATTGAAATATCACATGAACCAGAGCCTATATCATCCAGACCTGTACCAAGACCAAGACGGTCTAAGCCACAACCAAAGCAAGAGACACTCCCAGATGAAGACATTGGTCAGGAAGACATCATTGTAGAGATCCACACCCCAAATAGAGATGCTGCAGCTGCTGGTATCCCCACAGATACCAATCAAGAAGTTCCTGCAGATATGGATACTGCTTCTCAGGCAAGTGGTGACGATCATGAGGCTGAGGCAGCAGTGGAGAACATTTCTTGTGACGACGGTCACATCCCAGGAGAGGGAGAAACAGAGGTGTATCCTACTGATGATGAAGTGGATGAAGATGCTGGTGCTACTACTCCAGATCTACACGAAGATGATGTCATTCCTTCATCTGAAGACGAAACTAAAGATGATGATACAGTTCTGGATCAAGTTCCTTCAGCTGAAGCAGAACATGTTGACGAGATGGATGTCACAGGTGATGCTGTTCCAGATACAGACGGAGCTGATGTTGTTCCACGAAGGTCAACACGTGAACGACACCCTCCAAGTTGGATACATTCAGGGCAGCATGCGCTTAGTCAGGCAGCAGTAGAGCCAGATTGGATGGTTAGGGTTCGTTATCTGGAGCATTTAACGAGCGCTGGAACATTGGAACAGACTACACCGGACATCACGAAAGCATTTATATCTATTTTAACACGCCAAAACTCAGAATGACGAAGACGTCATTTCCGTGGGGAGGGAAGAATGTAGTAGTATGTAATTATGTATATATCATCAAGTGTATTTTAAGGTCACCTCTTATTTTAATACCTAAGTTTTAGTCTACACTCCAATCTAACCTGCTTCACTAATACAATAGCACAGTCACCCTTGCGCTTGCCTTCTCTATTGTTTCTCTGGTTTCTATTGTTTAGCCCCAGCCCCTTACTTTCAGTGACAGGGTGCATTATGGGACTGGTCAGTTTAAATTCACACTTGTAGTTGATTATGTATGGAGCAGTCGGTTCATCGCTGATATAATTGAGTCAATTGTCACAGGTTAGTTTGGTTGAATTGTATATTTATGTGTTCTTATTTAGTGCTTTGAAGAGTTTGTTAAGGTGCATATGTATGGTTTCTTAACTTCTTTTAATAATGCTTATATTGTTAGGTGTGATAAATATATATCATATCAGTCATCGTATTCAGGTAAATGTAGTTAGGCTAAATTTGCTTAAATACCTTATGTAAGTATGTTTATAATAGATAATCTTAACTAGCATTTTCATGTTGATATTACTTAACTTATTGTGTAACTAAGCATAATGAGTACATTTATTGATAGACTGGAGCTATTTACCCGTAAATTAAAGTTCTGCACCTAGCTGCACATGTATGAATGTATGTCTGTATGTCTGTATGATGAGGTGAGTAATTAGAATATATATTTTAGGGTTATTGTATATACCTAAGGATGTAAACATATTGATGTAATATGTTACACTGTAATTATGTTATATATATTTATGTTCAGGTGTGTCCCTGTAAAGCAAATGTCTGATGTTGTGACATCATAGGGCACAGTGCCATACACCTGGTGAGGACATTTATATTTTGTATGTATTTATAGTGATATGTACTTTAATTGTGTGTTACGTATTAATGCATTTATCATCATTCACCTATTATTGATAAACTATGTTTGTCAATTTATTATATGATAAATCTCCTGTAATGTTTACAGTACAGTAAGACAAAACTAATCATGCTAACTATGATTGATCATAACAATGTATATAATCATATTTAAGATTCTAATGTTTGTCAATAAGTTATAATGTAATGATTTATTTGTATGTGTACGTATTGTGCATATTGTAACTCTGTGTATTTATTTTCACAGGGCCGTTTTATTTTGTATTAAAACAACTGGCATCAACAAATTAACCTGCGTTTGGTGATTCATTCACATAAACCACTCCGGTTACACAGTGACGGTAAAATAAATTTATCGTGAATAGCGGCAAATATGAATATATACAATTTAATATATATGTTTCTGTTATGTCATGTCATTGTATGTTGATTCTGAATCTAAAATATTGCTTGATATTGTTTGCCAAACAGTTGTATGCACTGTCCATCGTGATACTTCTACTTAAGTATATAAAAAAGAATGTTTGTCTAGACATGCGTTCATTGTAAACAAGGATTAGTGTGACAGGATAACTAAGTTTGTCATCTGGTATAATAGTTTATTTATAGAAGAATTGTGTCTTGAACGCAGCATGGCCACATATTTACACTATTCTTTCATGTCATGAGAAAATATGTTTCTATATTTCTCGATTTTACACTTTTCCCTTTCCTCTGGACATATAATTATTATTCATTTGTTGTTGCTACTTTTTAATAATGATAAGGATGGTGTAAAAGAGTGGATAAATAGAATTTAAAGTCATTAGGAGACGCTCTAGGAAATCTTGCAGGGAAAGCTGCATCTGCACTTCATGGTATATTAAGAAGTATTGTATCCTGGCTCTAGACTTTATTCGCTGAGACAGCTTAGTCAAAACTATTTATCCAAATCATGAATAAACCTGCCGCAATTCCACCTACTCTAAGTGTTGTTTTCTGATCGATATGTTGTTGATTTTGAGTAACAATATGTGGTGTTTGTTTAATTACTGAACGTGGTTGAGATGTTACTTCTGTGTTTGGCTGAATTACAGCAGATGGTTGTGGTTTGACTATTCCTGTCTCACCCGTGCTTGGCTGAGTTATTAAGACAGTGTTAATATCTGAATTGATACCTAGTGTTTGTTTATCAGTAGTAATTACAATTTTATTATTATAAGCTACAACTTGAACAATCTTAAGTTCCATGTTACTCGGTGTCATATACAGACCTGTCCCAAAACATAGTCTACTTTACCACCAGCATACTGTAGAGCATCTTGATATAGGTTGTCGGCCGAAGTTGGATCAACAGGTGACGAAATAGCATCCTCTACGTTTCAGCAAACTGCTTTTGTGCAACAAATGCTGCGAATCCACCAATGATGTTTGCGCCTGAGCCCCAACAACAGCCCATTAACAACTGAGTCATTAAGTCTTTCAATACCGGGGTGAGTAATAACTTCTGATTTATTTAAAATGAATTCCAAGCATTTTCAGCATCTTGTGGTTGCTCAACCTGTTGAACAGCGAATACAACTCCACCCTCACAGTTCATATGATCATCTCTCCACTCGTTACTCGAGAGAGCAATGTCCTATCGAAGCCAACCACCTTTCAATAACTATTGCTGACTTCTTGAACAGAGCGTGTGCCACTGTATGGGATACCTAGACCATGATTAACCCCATGCATACGCCAATCTAAATGTGTTGAAATAGCAAGTTTCACCATACATATGTTCATATGCCCGCCGATTGTATTGATTATTTGATGGACTCCATCCTGTGGAAATGGTTGACTTATATCTGCAAGGATACGTCTAATCTGAGTATTATATAATAAGGATTTTTAAACCGATTCAACATATTGTTGATGTGAAATTCGTCATTATCAATAAATAGGACAAACTGAATAGGTTATTACAGACAGGTGTTCAAAAGTCCCAATGGTCATGGATACTCGTTACGTGTTTTATGTCATGTTCATGTCGTCATTAATGTCAATTAGGCAGGCACATTCTTGGTATTAATAATCGTGTATATGCTCAAACAGTTTTTGTTTTCACATTGTCAATTCAAATTGAAGGAACATTATCACGGCCCCAAACGCGAACGTTCACTTCTGCCTCAAGTCTGTAGACACATTCTGGTTCCACTAGACGGTTACTGTAAAATAACTTGGTTTATCAGGGTTGTGTTATGTACTCCAAGTTGTGGGGAAAACTCATGAAACATATGGCTGACATAATGAAAGCTTGCTGATCCTTTGTTTCTCGTTGTACTAATGACAATGTTTCACTGATTGTCGCCAAATGGTAACAGCAGCCTCTGTCCCGCTCAGAGACAAACATCAACGGTGTCCTCCCATTAGTTAGACGTCCCAATAGTTAGACAGCTTATAACAACACTTTAAACGGTTGAGTGCACACTAATCCTTATGCTTGTTACCTCAGACTTTAAAATGGAATAGTCCAGATAAGATCTGACAAACAAAGCAAAGTAGCTTTAAATAGATACTTTAATATTATACTTAACATTTAATGACAATTTACATTTGATAAATTTTATACAGTTTGTAAAAACACTTTGTGACAGTTTTTGGTAATGTACACTTTACATTTAATAACTATTACAGTTTATATCTCCCAGACGAAGCAAGTGTGCTAGGTGACAGAGGCCTGTTGAGTCGCTCTTGACCTTCTGTCTTCAGTTGTCGAAAAAGCCGGCCATAGGTTGTTGCTTGGCGATCTGGCAAAAGGGCGAACACTAGAGGGAAGGTGTTGGGACCAACTCTGGCATGAATGATGTATACTTGATCCCATAAACCTGGACATGCTGTGAAGGTACCATCCATGTAAAGGGTGTAAGCTTCCTGGAGGTCCATCTGTTTTCTCTGACCATTTGTCTTCAATGTCTACTGCTGACCGCGACCTGGGTAACGCTGAAATGTAACGCCTGAACAAGAGCAAAGGAACAGTAACACATATGTTACATGAAATATTGATAATGATTTCATTAACTTGAAATCACGGTTTAAGAGCGAAACAAGTTATGTGGGACGTAAAAAAAAGAAGTAAATTCTAACCAAGTCAAAAATACGGGATGATATTTACCTGTAAAGTGCACTTTTCACGCTCTGCTGGCATGTTGGCTTCATCTACTTGAGTGACTTGCTCCTCGTACAATGCCTGCATCTGTGTGGTTTCTTCTCGCGCTCTTTTACGAAGATTGCTGACAAAGTTCACTCTGGTTTCATCTTCAGGCGGATGGTTATGTTCCGACTGATTGCAAAGAAAGTCACCGACAGTCGTACATTTCCCATTGCACGTCTTGACGACACATCTCCAATGTGTGCAGGTTTGCCTCTCGCGGTTTCTGTTGTAAATATATCCATCTAATATCAACTGCTCACTTCCACGCGGAGAGGTGATGTACGCTACTTTCCTTAAACCAGCCATATCGATACTGATAATGAGACGTACCCCAAGATCATTTTTATTTGTTTGCTGAGTAGATAATCTAAACTCAACTCCTTCAACTGATCATACAGTTAGACAATTAAGCTACTCCATAGTTTACATAGTTAATCTCATGCCTATTGAACGTGTGCTGAGAGTAAGGTCATTTAGGTTAATTAAACGAAATTATAACATATATACTCCCTAAACTGTGAGTCCCCTATCCCTACTCAGTACTTTAATCTAATTAGGACTGATCCATTACACCTGTAGGTATATTCCCTCTTTGCCGAAATGAACATGTCTAACAATTGGGACGTCTAACTAATGGGATATAACATCAACACATGGAGGTCAGGAAGCTATGTAACCGTCAAGGCAATGAGGGACATGTGGTGGAAGGAATAGCCTTGCTGTGGACTTACTGACCTCATGATCAGTCTGACCCGAATAATTGGAGCGCCATTTTATCCCATTTTGCTGTTAACATTCTGTTTAAATATGTTTGTCCTATGAAGTAAGACGACTACGTCACTATAATTTACAAGCTACGGGTAATCGGGCCACAATAGATAGATATCATGTGTTAACAATGAAGACCATACACAAGGAGACAGTCCTTGGTTAAAGAATAACACCCGCTGTCCCTGTAAAGACCTTGACGTGCAACTTGTGTGCAGATGTTTCTACCTCTACATATTCGTGTAACACGCATTTAAGAAACAAAATCATATCTGGAAGATTATTTCGGTATGAACTGCATGTCACCATGATACATGTCAGCTTATGAAAAATCGTCAAATTATATGCGCGCATAAAGTTAACCTGAAGCAATTTGAAAGAATACCACAGATATTGTTTAGGTTTTAAGTCTATGTTGTAGTTATGAATGTAGGACACTGAAATATAAATAATCAGTCAGGCGTTGTGAAGGGTAAAATAATTTGGAACAAGAGGTATTTTACTGGATTTAGTTTCCAAGATAATTAATACACATCACAGATATTGTCATAAGGACAAAAAACATTTTAGCCAAATATAGGAAGAGTAATCCATGTCAGCATCTGTGCTGTCGGTGTTTATGTAGTTGTTACAGTGGATTTGTATCACAGCATGAACTCAACAGATCATTATTATATCCCAGTGTTGTTTTAGAGTTATTCAATCTCGTGTTCCTTTTTAAAACTTACAAGGTTCTTGTAAACTCATACACACAAACGAACACACATACACGCACGCACATACACACCAAAATTTGAACATAGCACAGCACCATTGGCAGATCCCGATTGCATTTTTAACTATATCCATATATTAAGTGAGCACAGGTCGTTTACCCGAAATTCTCATAGACGACTACAATCACATTGCAGAGAAGTGTTAGTTTGCTAAAGTTTGATATAATTCCTTTTATGTTTATGCATATTTGTATCAGATAGACATGTATTTTATCCGTAGAAAGGCAGTCAAGCCTACCGTACAATTCACAGTTACAATTAATTTTTAAACTCAGAACAAAATGAAATGTTTCATACTTTATCCTTTCAAAATTGAGGAGCCCCCATGACGTAAATATTTTTAAAATAGTTCTCTTGATTCTGTCCAATAATTAAATTGTCTTATCTATCATTACTTAAATTGAGACAATGTTATCACAAGGCCCATCTGCTTACTGGGATAGATTACAGCATCGGATGAAACAAACCATGACCGGTATTTTCAAAATTGTAGTTCTTAGTTTGTATGGCCTCAAAGCAGTGGCGTGGGGGAAATTCGAAGCCCGTAATAAATGAACATGATATATCAATAATACGTGTCTTGGAGTCAGATATGGGTCTATGACAACGTGTTATTGTATTATCGTATGGTAATATAAGTTATTATTCTTTTCATATCGAAACCAGAATGATTTTGTTGCTATATAAGTATCAAAAATAATTTAAATGTAATGAAGACTTATTTAATCAAAAATCTCCTGGTGTTTATAAATATAAGATAACTAACATAGGAAATCCTAAACGTGTCATATATACATTAAATAATGTCACCAATTGTAAAATCATGATTAAAGTAAGCATCAGTTCTAAAAATTTGAAATAATATACATTCGAGCATAAAAAGTTTAGTACATGCATCTTCAAATGGGACTCCACATGGACAAGACGGATCGGGGAAGATTTGCCATTAGTATCGCCGTACCTTATTTCACAATTGCAAGTTGTCTGTTAAGATACTTAAATTATATGAACTATATGATCGTTTATGATGTTGTGTCATAGACTACATGAACACACAACAAATGTTAAGTAATTATATGAAGGTGATTTCATAAACATAATTTTATCCACAGCTTATTCTGTTGAGTTAGTTTAATTCCAACGGAAATGTTCATGCATCAATGTTTTATGAAGTTATGTACAAACGTAGATTTGTACCCTTGGTAAATACATATAGCTGTACATCTTCCGTATTTGCAAACAGACAAAACGATTACTTGTTACACCTGAAGCAGATGACATCTTTACTACCTTTGCGTTACAAAAGAAACTGAGCATATTCTATCCCAGTAGATGGAGAAGAGGATAATCCCATTGTTGTTTGGTCAGTTAAGAGAACTGTTACATGAGAATATGTAACTATTAGCCACAATTAGAGCCTTTGGTAGGATTAGAGGGAATGATAAGCATAAACTTGCTGAGTATTTTATGATATTCATGCTAGCTCAAAAGAAACTTTGATTTATGTTTGTAGTACACCCCAAAAAGAGGGATTTCACAAGTGATATATTAAGATGGCATACAACTTATACATACTTACGTGTATAAACTACTATCAAACAGTGAGGATAACAGGTGTTTGCATAGAGGGGAGCGTATCCTGCACCACCGGTGGAACAAACACGTGCAAAGGCAAGTTAGTTGTTAAACACGAAAAACACGGAAACGTATGGCACAAGTCAAAACAGAGAATTTCATCGGACATAACTCAATTTTCTACTTCTGTGGTAGTCACCAATCAACCCATTTATACTTCCAAAAATAACTTTAACCCTTTTAAAGCTTTTGAGAAACTCAAAAGTATGGGTATGGTCTGACAAAGCAAGCAGCACAAATGGGGCATGTTTCGGCCAATGATTAGAGTATTCTTGCAAGTCTAACCGTCCAACAGGAGTTATTTCTGCGACATGCTATTTCAAAACCCAAAATTCAGAGTGATATTTATGAAAAGAAAAATTAAAACAATACAAATATAAATTCCTTCCAGGTGAAGGCTATCACTTGAAATCAAAATAACAAAGCAGATTTTAGTCAATGACACATCTCTTGGGGTAGAAGTTCATCTCTGTCACCATTCTATGGTATTTTCTTACAAAGTTGTAATATACGTGAAAGGCTTAATGTTGCTGATAAAGCGCAAAGATATAAACTCTAACTGACTGCTCAGTAACATTCATGTAATATTAGTAATATTCAAATAAGTGTTCTTGTTCTAGGTGTGTGTGACGTGGATACATATATATAAGCGTATAGAAGAAACGTCAACAAACTTGTAACTATGAATAAAATAATAAATAAGCGATGTCCTTCATATGTAACTGATCTTATACCACCAGCTGTGTCACAAAAGGTCAGTTATAATCTCAGAAACAGACATGATTTTGTAGTTCCATTTGCACGGACATCTACGTTTAAAAGGTCTTATATTATAGATACATAAGGCCAATGGAATAATCTATCATCAGGAATCGGGGATAGTCCGTCAATATCTTATTTTAAAGCTGTCGCATCTGAGCAGCCTACATCACCACCTATGCACTATAATTGCGGTGAGAGATCTACAAACATATTGCACACTAGATTGAGACACAATTGTAGCACACTAAATTCCAACTTGTTTCGTGTTAATTTATCTGATACTATTTCCTGTAAATGCCATTCCATTTCTTCTTCGAAGGTACCTTATATGATGATATTAGGGAGACATTACTGACAGCTATCGATAATCTCGGAGGACAAAAAACTCTACATAGTATTCTTTTTGGTGATCTAAACTAAGATGTTTTCCTGAATACAAAAATATTCTTGTCTGTACACAAATTTAAAGAAACGACTAACAGATTCAGTAGCTAGCATATTATTGTTTCCAAACTGTTAATCATTAATATTGTTAAATCTATATACAACACTAACATGTATAATATTAGCATATGTATGAGTGAGTGAGTTTTTACGCCGCTTTTAGCAATATTCCAGCAATATCACGGCGGGGGACACCATAAATGGGCTTCACACATTGTACCCATGTCGGGAATCGAACCCGGGTCTTCTGCATGACGAGCGAACGCTTTAACCACTAGGCTACCCGACCGCCCCCAGCATATGTATGAGATGCACACTGTCTTCACTTTCCAGCACATTGTACATATCCTTCATATGAGCACTGTATATATATTGCGCAATATGTTTCCACAATGTGATGCTTCAACTGTAAATTGTTCATTTTCATTATGCAATATTATGTGTAACTGTATATAGGGAGAAGGTGGTAATAAGTGCTGCACTTGTGCCCAATCCCTTTGTCTTTTTGGACAATACAATATCATGTTTAATAATAATAAAAGGCAACCAATGTATTATGATCAGGGTCCATTGGTATCCCTTCAGCAAGTGCGAATCAGGTCCTAGACACCGTCCTAACACATCTGCTTTGTCATACAGTCGAACCTCGCTTATCCGGACAGATGCTTTTTCTAAAATGTTGTCCGGATAAACGAGTTTCTGGATATCTGAATACTTTGTTAACTGACCAGAAGTCCTTCCCCTACCTCAATTCTACCGAGGCATATGTGAAATGAATGGCAAAAATATGATTTATGAAGGATCGACCAATTACTAATAAAATACATTGTGCTGTACAGACCTACGCAGCATGCTGTGACAGCGCACCGTATTATTGAAACGGCTGAAGAAATGCATATGTAGCCTAGTTTAGACTATGCACTTGTTTTGTGTACAGATATGACGGCGAGGTTAGGGCAACCTGACACACATGAGCATTAATAGCCATGTTTGCCTCTACTAGTTGACTGCCAAGGTTGAACTCATTCATGTGTGAAAAATGCTGTCGAGGCATCTGTACATCTTCTTTGTCGAATTGAATTTATTAAAGTACATCAAGATGAGGCATCATATACATTCATATATATTTGTTGAGCACGAAACCATGAAGACATTTCCTCGAAACTATGGGCGGCCATGTAGCTTCAATATCTTATTAAATTATATCACTGAACATTGGTCAAGGTGTGTTCAGTAAACAAAGATCTGAAGGGCTGTATTTCCTTCATCGAACACACTCTGCGTGTCAGTTTGTGACGGATTACGGATACGAACGAACTAGCACTTGTTTGGCAGGTAGGTTTTGTTAAGATTTGATATCTTGTTCTCTCTGTACCCTCTACTTCCTTAATCACAATTTAAATCCTAAATAGACTTTCGGGCCTAACACTGTGGCAATTTTAGACCCTCTGTTTCTGTATTTACTTGAGCTCATTTCCCCTAATGTTTACATCATCTCATAAGACTAATTCATCAATGATGTCAAAGCTGTCTGACATGTTTCTTATGAACAGTTTATGAAGCTAAACAATGTCCAAGTGACTTAGGCCAAAAATACGCGCTATCCATTTATCGACGTTTGTATGTGATTTTTGGGGAGAGGAGGTGCTAATTATTCCTTAAAAACAGAGATCACATCAGATTACTAATGAGATGGTGATAAGGCTTAGGTTATGAAACAATCTGAACTCACAGTCTTGAATTACTACACGATACACTGCCTGGGACTCAAGCTTCAATGGCTACAGTGTGCAAAGATTGTTTGTGAATGAGATAAGCTATATTGTTAGATTTAGTTCTCAGGATATTAGTTCTTGAAATGCATGACGTAGCAGTCCCCCCATGTACTCAATATATGCTATTTCAGTATCCAAGTATCTTCAGACAGACAGTGGAAAATATTCATCCTTATTCCAACACAATATTTACAAGCAAATGAGGAAAAGAGACAAACGATTTCTGTGATGAGTGAAGCACTGTATGTGTGTGTGCGCGTGCGCGTGCGTGCGTGCGTGCGTGCGTGCGTGCGTGCGTATATATATATATATATATATATACTTATTGCCACTTCCACGCAATATATTGTAGCACCTCATCTGGCCTACACTAAATACAAATGGTTACTTCCGCACCCCTGTTGTGTAGAATGGTACTGTCCATTAACCCATTAATGATTTCATTCATTAATATGAATTAATGACCTGAGTACATGGGCCTTTGAACTAATCCGATGTTTTCATAGTGGTATCTGATCCTTGAGTTTGTTTTGACTGTTTATACAGGATTACTGTTATAATCCACTTTTAACAGGTCTACTCATCTCAAAAGTTTTGTAAGTGTGTATACATTACCTTACCTGATATAATCCAATCTGAGCATTTTAACAGGTCTACTCATCTCCAAATTTCTGCAAGTGTATATATATACCTTAGTAAGTACTATTGTTTCTCTTTACTTTGATCAACGAAATAGCTTTCACATATCATCATTGATAAACTTCACTGTGTGTTTCGAAGTCAAATCTCTGTAAGGCATCCTGCACGGCTTCGTTCATGTTTACCCTCAAATGTACGATAGAAAAATCTGTGTGTCTTTCGCGCGTCAATCTTCTGCTGTTACAATCGTTATATCAAAGTTAACTTATGTTTGGGGTCTTGGTGAAATTTAATCACAATGCAATTAAATCAAGCGTATCAGAAGAGAAATGTCGATCGTTTCGTGACACCATTAACGACTGTAAGTGATCAATCACATATACTTACTAGATAATATCATCCGACACAAACACATTTCGATATTAAATGTACTTGATTAACTGATTCTTGTATCATTTTGCTTTGCTAATTACATCTGAAACGTTTTCATTCTAAACAATTCCGAAACAAGCTTAGGATACAAACATATTTAGGCATTAAAACCCGTTTCACTCATCGGGCAAGGATTAAACACTATTTACAACGTTGTTACCAATTAGACGTCTTCTAGGGAAAGGAAGTGCCCACTACTAATATAAAGACAGAGATCATTAGATTATTTTATGCTATTTGAGTATCCCAATATCTTCAAAAGTCATTTCACAGACATTGAAATATAATCATCGTTATTCCAATACAAAATATACATGAAATGAAGGATACGAGAAAAAAGTTTTCTGTTGTGAGCGAAGACTCAACAAGAATGACAAATTATATGGAACTTTAACTTGAATGATAAAGGAAAACATTACGCATAAAACACTTACATGTATAATACATTATTACAAATACATTCGCCTACATTCTGTGAAAGAGTATTCTTAGTTGTACAATCTGAGTTTAAAGGTGAATAAGGTAAGACTGTTGCATGCTAGTAAGTGTGACCTAGAGGATTAAATTGAAACAACACTTGTAATATTGTTACTGTGAGGTACGATGTTACAACTTCACTTATAAGGACATATCCCTCTTTTAAGAACCCATGTAGTTTCCCCAGATAGTACCATACACGTGTGAATTTCAGGTTTGTGCATGTTGTCAGAATGTTTAAAAAGCTGTAATTCTGTACAAACTCCAGAAAAGTCATAGAATAAAACTTTAGGCTTGGTTGAGTATTCAACTGAATTTATTCTGAATATCTACCATCCCCTAAAAAGCTTGCATATTATTGTATCGTTTACGGCGGAAATTCGAGTAGATGGTGAAAGACTATGAATTTTCCTTTGTAAACACAGACTTGATCTAAAACAAACTATTTGTCTACCGAAAATGAAAATTCATAACCTCGAATTTACTCAGGAATTGACTTTTAAATATTCTGAGGGTAGCGTATGTCGGGGCGAGGATTATTTATATATTTATCGAAACGTAATTATGTGAATCATTTCCTTTAAACAAACATATCTGTTCATAACACAACAGTATAGTCATTGGATTATATAAAGCTTCAACACATAGCCAGCAAGCATATAAACGTGTGAGGGAGTTCACCCACATGTTTAAGCATGTTTATAGTTTCAGTTTATCGTTAATAGTATCAGTTACAAAATAAAGTATGTCATTCCGCTTGGATGGCCAGTCCCTGGTGTGTTGTTTGTTTGACATTCCCTTTCTGCTTGAGAAATCAGGACTACCCTTAATCTTCTTCAAGGTGTACAGTTACATGTAAGAATCTACGTTTTGACACATTCACATTCACACATTGAGCATGGGAGTTCAAACAAGTGCTTCAGATAAAAGAACGTTTATGATATATATACAATTATATGTTCTTAACATTTGTTGATGTGCACTCATGTCCTCCATTACTTAGTATCATAAGCAGCATGTAGTTGTCATATTATAATTATCCTGACAGCCAATATGCACTTATTGTAAGGTGATATGACGTCAAACCAATGGGGCGACTACAAGTATTCGGATAATTAAAATAGTGGTATAGATCCAAACAAGTATTGTTGATAAATAGTGTTCTTTCATAACATACATGTAAGAACAAAAAACTAAAGTTTCAAAAACACTGGTCATGGAGACTGTAACTTATCCCAGTGTAACTTATCCCAGTGAGCGGATAGGTCTTGCCATATCACGGTTTCATTCTAAGTAATGGTAAATAAGACAATGTTATTAGAGACAACACAACCATTTTAGTGGGCACTAAATGGATAAAAGAAGAAAAACATTTCCTTTGTTCTTAGATAGTTTATTAATTAGTCGTAAGTGTGAATTGTACTGTGGGCATCATGACATTTCTTCGAATATATATAGTACCTATCTGTTTGCTATGAATACAAATTAATATAAAAGAAATGAAATGAAACATTAGCTCACTAACTACTACTACTCTACAATGGATACAATGTGTGAAGCCCATTTCTGGTGTCCCTCGCCGTGATATTGCTGGAATATTGCTAAAAGCGGCATAAAACCATACTCACTCGCTATTCATGTACAACGCGTCTGTTAAAATAATATTATGTATGTCCGTTTATATACAGGATTTCTCTTTTACGATTCGTCGGAAGTGACAAGATTAAAGTTGGAGCTTGCGGTAAGTACATTTTTTTGGTTCCCTAAAGTACAAGTAGATATCTTCAAAAAGCACTATGTACTATGGGGAACAGCGTAAAATAAATTATCAACAGTGAGCGGGCTGTTTTTCTTTCAAACTCTTTCTCTTTCATGTTTTATTTCCTGAATGATGAGAATACTTCTCCTGCCTTTTGATTTCATAGAAGTTAGATCATCAGTTATACATGTTGTATGCAGTCTAGCATTGTCGTGTTGAAGGATAACTTGATGGAAACAACATGCGGCTGAAGAGTTTCATCACAGTAGCGTTGGGTCGTTCAGTTGCGTGGCACTAGGTATATTCTACCTGTGTGAGAGAAATTTGCCTACATTATTTTGCTGCCAAAGCCAAATCTTTCGATCTGCCGATGTCGGTGCACCCTAGCTTACCCATATTCTCAGTGCGGCATAAATCGCTTACCCAAATGTCGCTGAACAATGTTCCATCGCTGTTTGGGGCATATACTGCTTGCGGCTCAGTTGAGAATTTGAGAATTGCAAATAACGTAGCCGTATGAAGCGGACCTTGGAAAGCCATTGTAACATGGGGACGGCTCGACCTGGGTCAGTCAATTGACGTGCCATGCTTTTCGTATCGATACCAGAGGAATTGATGGTGTCTTGGCACACATTTCAACATCCTGGCTACAACTGACTGCAAGTCTCCTGTTTCCTATCGACCTACGAGGCTGCTCCGTTAAGCTTCAGTGAGACGTGGCACGACGTCACAGGTAAAACAGTTGCTACCAGTCAAAACCACCCCACCATGAACGTGCATTGATCCTATTGTAATGTGGTGTTACCATTCTTACTTTTGCAATATGCATGTGGTCGTTGTTGCGCTTTGAACGATTTAAACAATGACAATTTAATTATTAAGTATGTATATGAAGACAACAAGGTATGAAATATATCATGTATATTGTTATGGTTCGGGTAATGATGTCGCTCTGCCACTACTTTGGGTCATTTCCATAATATTATGCTCCTTGCATTTGCAATTGGCCAATCAGCCTCAGTTTCAGTTAAAAGTGTTGTCATGTCGTCACATTGTCATACTGCAATTACACAATATCGGTCTGTTGTCATACCATCATATTGTCATATCAAAATATTACTCTATTACCATGTGTGTTCTTTTGCCATATCGTATCGCGTGACCATATCGCTTTATGGCATTTTTGCTTCGAATTCATCGTGATAACATGTCATGTTATCACCATAACGTGTCGTGTCGTACTATCGCTCCATCGTCTAATTCTATTGTTTTGTCATTGTGTTTCGTATTATCGCTTTGTCGCGCGAAAATGTGTGGATTTCTCGGAGCGATATGGCGAGGACCCCTCCTTCTCAGTGACCATCTCCTTATAACACGTTGAACAAAATGCAGGTGTGCAAGAGAACTACCACAACATGAATACTTCTGTCAAACTTCTACGATTCGATCGATTCCTGATCTGGCTTGAACGTTGTTGACTGCGTCGTCAAAACACTGACTCGCAGGGATGAAATAGAACTTCCGTGTAGCCATCTGACACAAACATGGACTTTGAAACATTCTTTCTGATATATTGTCACTAACAAAACAAGGATCCTGTAAAACAAGGATGTAACACCTTGGTGTACATGTATATGTAGGCCTTATCAGTGACGGGATGCTCTCTCCCTCAGATGCGGAATGATTTTCCCACCAGCCATCTCTGTAGACATTTAGGATCTTCATCCTTTGTTTTGATAGGAACCAGGAACAGACTATGGAGAGGATGATTTACAAGCGCGTCAGTTTGGTGGTTCTTTTGACGGTACTGCAGAGTGGCATGGGTAAGTATCTCTGTTGTGCTTTTATTACCCCAGTATCTGCAATAAAAAAACATGTATCATCCATATGATACAGATCCTTTACCAGAGTCAATATCTTTTTGGAATTTATAGATTAACTGTATTATTACAAAGAATGACATGCCCTTTAAATCAGCTTTTCACTCAGCATCGAATTTCACACAGTAGGGGATGTCAAGTGAGTGAGTGAGTATGGTTATACGCCGCTTTTAGCAATATTCCAGCAATATCACGACGGGGGACACCAGAAATGGGCTCCATACGTTATACCCAATTCGGGAATCGAACCCGGGTCTTCGGCGTGGCGAGCCACCAGGCTACCCGACCGCCTCAGGGGACGTCAAGAAACATACGTTGGAGTTACTGTTATTAAATAAAATGGAGATGACCAGATAATTGTCAATGTAATATTTCTAACACATAACTGAATGATACGCAAATCTGCATAACTCGTGAGGATCACAATGACTGATTATTTGTGATAAGTATTTGATATACAATCTTGAATCGTAACAAGTTTGCTCTCTATCTTGAAACACATTACACGTTTCTAAAAGCCGGATTTTACTCCATTGAAAGAAACGCAAATACAATAGGAAATGTATGCTGTGACCGGCTTTATGTGGTGTTTTCCGATATGAATTAACTTTGGGCTTTTATTTGATATGGAGCTTCAACTTTGAGACATATGATCACCGTGTATTGTTGTATGCACAAGCACCATTGTCCTGAATGCTCTGACCAGATTTTCTGACATTTCCAAGGCATTAGAGAAAAAGTTGATACTCCAGTAAATACTTGATCATAGAGTTTTCGAATGCATTCCTTTTTATTGTAATAGGTGCTGAGCTTTCCCAGTCCTTTCTAAGTGTACTAGGGTTTGACATGTGAACGTTTCCTTAGGTGGGGAAACATTTGTAAACATATAATTTTCAAATGTTTTCAAGCCTAAGAAAGTTATGTATCATTCCGGATATCAAAAGTATGTATTTGAATAGTTTATGCTCATAATATCGGTACTAAAATAAGATGATGATACGTTTCTAACATTTTAAATATTGGGTTAACTATAATTTCACTTATACTGAAACCCTTGCCATCAAGGTTCATATGCCCCCATTAACCTTTCTGTTAAGGTTCTGGTTAAATAGAACACTATTATGCAAGCTGAAACGTTCCCATTAGGTCATCAATTTAATCGCTTCACCAGGTTGCCAGTTCTTTTGACAATTGAGTGGGAGTGTGGGAGACCAGGGCTTCCGATAAATGACTGAGCCATTGAGCGTTCACTCACATGTTATAATTCACATTGGGTATCGATAGTTCGTGCGGTATTCAGTGTATTATGACTCTCGTCCCGTCAATAGGATAATTATTAAATTTTCGCTGTGTTCATTGAAATTCCTGCATTCCGATTAGCTAAATTGGTCACATGTTATTGCATTCCTTTCCCAATGAATGTAAAAACTTAAGCCATGCCCACCGAGGCGGACTTCTTTTATTACTGCGGAATGTCGGGGAATCCGTATATTACCGTCGAGGGAATCCCCTTTCTGCTTACGTGTATCGTCATGCACAGGACATTTAGCGACATTCATGCATTCGCTCGCCTGTTGGTTTTTTTATATTTTTTTATCCCTAATGGCTTCTGTTCCACAACTTTCATGTCTTCGGGTTTCATTTCTAACTAGCATTTTTCAAACTGTGTTTTCCCGTTTTCAGGGAACATATCTATTTCTTTTGAGTGATTGAGTGATTATTGTTTAACGCCACGTCAACAATCGTCTAGCTATTTGCGTGGATTGTTCCCAAGAATTATGGCTCACATTTTACCGTACCGTTATTTTGCAGACCATGTCATTTGAAACAGCCGCCTTCTCCCGGACATATTTCTTCCGGTTCGTTACAGTCTGACTGTAGCAGTTCTTCTCGTCTCTTGTCCAATGAACATTGTTTTGATCCTACCCTCTGTTTATTGGCTACTGACCGTGTAGGCGTGTCAAGTTATGTGCAAAAATTAAACGATCACCTGATTCATGTCACGCCACAGTATGTATTCATACACCTGGAATGTTTTTCAATCTCGTCATTTTTGTCTGTTTTGATCTATACTGTTTTTGGTTAAACTATTACAGATAAAACATGTTTTACGTTGACGAATTTAATTATAAGCATTGACTGTGTATTTCTTTTCGGTTCGTTGAGGTATGAATCGAAAAACCGATGTGCAAACTTTTGTAAGAATCCGCTACACGGATTCATACAGTTTGAACCGAAAACAATACACAGTCAATCCTTAATTGCAAACCTATGAGTGGTTCTGTTCAAAATAATTGTACTTGTATACTGTTTTAGTTTGTAACTTCTACTCAACATGTGTTGACGTGTTAGATAATTTCGTTACAGTGATACAAGTTAAAATAAGCAAGATGTTGCACAGTTGTGCATTATTCACTACAGTGGAATTCTTGTGTACAAGATGCCTGCATTCAGTCCGTAAGAAAAGAAATGTAAAAACATCTGTGTGCGCGAGCTGAAAAGCTACATTAGGTTATTGCGAATATTGGATTATATAACTTGTGTACGCAAGCAACTCAAAAGGTATATGGTGATTTACAAATGCAGTTTTCGTATTTTACAAATACGCAGCTTATCTGGAGATCGTGAGAAGTATGAATACATTAACATCTTGTACAGATCACCCCATTTCCCCTTCCCCTCCCATACCCCATGGATTATAGTAGAATATATCACACGAGCACCTCGCATATACAAATATACATGATCACCTCGCGTACACAAATATAAATGTACGTGCACATGCTCGCACACGGGTCTTAGTAAAGCACTATGGTAGCCTTGACACATTCCATAAAATCACGTTCTTATCAAATATCATAAAGACATGTTGATCAGTTTGCATACATATTTAACAATGAAGAGAACAATCTGCAAAATAACGGGACGGTTAAATTTGAGCCATAATTCTTGGGAACAATCGACGCGAATAGCTAGACGATTGTTGGTGCGGCGTTAAACAACAATCACTCAAAAGAAATAGATATGATTCATTTTGTAACACCCTAAACAATACAAATATAAACCATGTCATAATTACTTAAAAGCACCGCGCCAGGAAAAGTACCAGACGCCTCAATCGCTTACCCGTCAATATCATTGCAAGGAGAGAAAGGACTCCCGCTAACAGTGAGGAGTACTAATTAAACATTCCAATAATGTTACACGCCACTATATCAGTTTTATTTGTAACTTGCTAATAATTTTGTTCGGCTTTTTGCACATACAAAACAATTGTAGAATAATATACATAGCAATATCCCCCTTTCCCAACATTTTCAATGCAACACAGTGCTCAACCTAAAACTCTTCATTTTGCACATATACAATAATTAAACACGAATACATAACAGTTATCTCCCTTTACTGATATATACAAAGAAAAACAATTTTGGATACATCATGTATACAAAATTGTATATTTTTGTATATGTCATATATACAAACTTGTATATTTTTGTATATCTCATCATTCCAAACTTGTATATGCTTTGGATATATCATCTTTCCAAAGCATATACAAGCTTGTATATATGGATTTTTTTGGCAGTGTATAGTCAGGTAGTCCATTAGATTACAGATGGATATAGCGTGGTACTTGTTGTGTGAACCACTAAAGTAAACGTTCAGTGAGTTTGACACAAACCAGAAAAAAAACCCGAATGATGCAGTCTTCCTCAGAAATAGAAAATGATTTTCGGGAGTAGCGGGTACCAGAAAAAAACATGGCCACATGGCGTTACACGTGACTTCCAGAGAGAAAAGTTACAATAGGTAGAAATATCTGGGAGATCACATGTTGTTTGTGTCTTCCTCAGAAATAGAAAAAGATTTTCGAGAGTAGCTATAATGTATGAAAGGGTTTCTTTGTCGGCCACAGCTAAGCCGGATCTTACTTTGATACAAAAGACATGGGACACTTTGCCTTCATCACTGACGCTCTGGCTGGACTACAGGTAAGATGATCTTTCTTCTAGTTTTCAGCAGGAACGATTAAATACGTTTTCAGTATCTCAAGAAGTTTGCGTTGATCCGATACATAAGACATTTTATTTACTTGCTTTTCGGATTTTACAGGAAAATACCTGTCGGTGGGTGGGGAAAAAACAAATCAGCTTTTTTATTTTTCTGTACTGTTGTGCATCTATGTATCTTGTCAATTTCAGGAACAAAAAACTTTATTCTGACTTCCATGTTTAATATATGTCAACTTCAGTTGGTCCTTCTTCAGAAAATATGTTGTAATGCAATATTCTATCAACAGAACAATTTCATTAAAAAAATAATCCATTTCAACAAAATTTACAGGAGATCGGCTGATCCGTGAAGCAAGTGAACAAAGGTATGGCCTGATTGCAAATGATTCTTGCCACACTACTGCAATATTTGTAAGACTATGTGTGGCACAACTTCTGTCTCCACGCAGTATGGAATCTATGAAATAATCCCCAAGGTTTAATGGATTGCTTTGAAAATTGTGAGCGTTAAGGAAGACTAAATAAAATAGAATAATATCAAAATGAACTTCCATAATAACCGACTAAAACTATTTTGATAAATCACTACCTACAATACCTTGCATTTACATGGGTACCAAACTGAACAAATCAAAGCTTTACGAGATGTCTTTCTTTGTACAAAATGCCAAATTGATCAAGTACATGTTGAAAATTCAACCAACGATTGGCCCAACTGAGTTAACATTACCGGCCCGAGGGGTCTGAAGAAACAGCCGGCCATAGCAGTACAGTAAATTTCGAAATACATTTATTTTTTATTGAACTTTATACGAAGCACAGTTAATTTTTTCCTTTTGTATAAAAAAGTCCTTCATATAATTAAAATGCAGAAATTCTGTATTTCTCTTTTGAATGCTTCCTTTGTTTGTTATTATACACAATGACTGTCAAGATGAGACCAGAAGTATGTGAACATAAGCCTTTTGCCAAAATCGCATTTTTTGTTAATTGTTGGTGAAAAAAAGCCCATGGGCTGATGGGGGTTTATAGGGGTTGAGCATTTATTGGTGAACTGCGCTTGTTTCGTGGACCTGCGCTCAGACTCGGCGACACAGCACATTACTTGGCTTGCAATTGTCACATGACATTAAATTAGCTCACGTTGTGTTTATATTTTGGGTCACGTGACTATAATGTTCCTTCTGTTCACTCACATAATATGTGTGATCTGAAACTGGTGCACTTTCAGTTACGATCCTCAAGATGAGCAGCAACTCTGAACAATGTCCGATTTATCTGCGCTGTCCACACCTGGACACAGACGACCCCCAGGTTTTACAACAGGATCTCACCTGTAAACCTTTCTATGAAAGCATAATGGATGGCGGCCTTTACCACGCCTATGCAAAACAAACCTGTGTGAACAACCCGAAAGACTATTATCAGAAACAGACTAAGAAGCCTAAACACGTCCTGGTTGTCGGGGCAGGAATGGCTGGACTCTCGGCAGCGTATGAACTCCGGCAGACGGGACATCAGGTAGGCGTACTGGATCTGTTCTTGGTTGAAGTTGCCTGCTTACACGATGACACTTCAGTTAAGAAATTAATACAAGAGTTGACACATATGGTTAAGTACTATGGGTTGTGGGTTTCAAGCTCATCCTGACATGGTCACTTATGTCGTTGGTCTTGCTCGCCGTCAGTTTGTTAGCACAGTACTGGAAATACATGTATACAGATCAGTATCGTAGTCACATAGTTCCCAACATCTTCCCATTGGACGTTGTGTTTTTAAAGGACCACAGGCTGCTCATAAGATCCTTTACAATGAAATAGGGTTTCCATTTTGTAAATAGCGAATTGGCCACAAAGGCCATTGTCAGAAATAGAGTGTGTGGAATCAGTTGTCTGTCATATTTTGATTGTACGTTGTAAAGATTTTGTAATTGAAACGATTCATGTACATATTGTTCATGCAACTTCTCCTCATCTCGTCAAAGTAGACTTTCTTGTTACATTACTTGGTTTCTGGTAGTTCTATTTTAGGCAATTGTTTTAAGACACATGGTTATGACAAGTTCTGGGGCATTGGAAAATAAGATCATAATAGGGCTGGTTCAGATTAGCATGTGATCCTAACATATTTTGATTTAGAGAATTGTGGTCGTGAATGCATCTTGTCACTTGGCGTAAATAGTCACAATAACAAACAAACAAACAAAGAAACAAACAAACATACAGACACATACACATACACAGACAGACATAGACACAGATACATAATACAAGGGGGTCACACTACTGACTGTATGTGGTGCATCTCTTCATCGTATGCCTATTTGACACTATTTATACCACAATCAGGCGATAAACACTTTATTGGAAAAGAAGATATGTTCTTATTATGAAGGATGTCGAGGCAGGTTCCTCGAAAGAGTGAGTGAACTTTAATTCCGTGTCTACAATATTTCAGCCATAGAGTGATCAGACTCTAACAGACTGACACCAAATAGTTTCAAAACAATAAGCACAAAACATCTATATAGATAGTTGTATAGTTGTGAATTCAAGTTTTCAAAATTATTATTGATAATAATTACCATCAATTAAACTGTTTTTCGACATACGCACGTTTCCAGTGTGTTATTTTGGATGTTATGTTACTTTTCAGAAATAGGTAAACGTTGCTTTAAGACAAGAAATTAAAATTTCTTTATGATGGCAATCAATGAATCAAAGTCATCAGTGAAATATTGCTGTAGGGTATTTTAGCTTATTCAATCATGAAAATATTGACGTAATCACGAGAAAGAAGAACGAAAGGTCAGAGAACTTAGGGATGATACTTTCCTAATGTAAGACTTTGTACATCTAAGCGATACTTCTACTTACATATTGCGTGTTTGTTTGACATACATGGATGTTCATTGGATGGTCTATGATTTGGCTACACACTAGACAAAAGCACTGAGCCGAAGTTCTTCGTTGCTTTAGCTCCCTTAGCATTAAGAAATATATACGTCTGGTTTTATTAAATAACTCACGGTTTAAGATACCACACGCTAACCTATCAGATGTTAAAACCAGAAAGTCTAATGATTCAAGCTCCTATCCAGTTTGGATCATGTTACTGTTAGCTTCGGAAAACACATTCTTACTGCTCATTTGCATTTTAATCCAGAGTCACATGATTCTAGCCCTGCTTCTTACAAGTAATTAGTACCATAAAATTATACGGTTTCGAAAAACACTTCTTACTGCATATGGATTATACCAGAATGTCCCACGGCTCCAGCTCCATCTGTAACTAAGTTATCACTACATCCAGCTTTGATTACCTAACTTCCTGTTTCAGAAAACTAATTCTTCCTGCATTAAACCAGAAAGTCCCGTGGTTATACCTCAGTTTATAACAAAGTCATTTGTATTTCTAGTTTGGATAACACATGCCTATTGCATTCTGATAATTAAAACTGAATTCCAATTGTTCTAGCTCTGTTTGTAACCAAGTTTGAGATATTTCTGCTTTTGATTATGTCACCTGTGGTTTCGGAAAACACATACTGACTAAATTAGATCTTCAAACGAGAAATATTTATGGCTGCAGGTAACTGTACAATGTAGTTATTAGTTATTCCTGTTTTGATTATGTCCCTTTTAAACTGTGAGTCGCATCACTGTAGTTATGGCAAAGTTATGCTTCCGGCTTAATGTATGTCACTTCTTATTTCGGAAAACATATTGAGTTTTGTAGAACTTCCAACCAAAAGGACCGTTCTCTCAAGCACAATCATCAAGATTGATAATTCCGTGGCGGATTAATTCCGCTTATGATTGTAAGTGCCACTTCCCCGTGACCAACAAAAAGCAAACAGTCCACATATTTTATTGGCGCTTCCTGCTTGTGTCCCCTATCCTTAATCGACAGTGAACGGTGTGGTTTTAAACATATTTTAACGACACTTCTTTTAATGTCAGGAGCATAATAGCAGGAGCAACTATTTTGACCCGAACTGATTTAGTAACAGCACAAAAATATGATAAGAAAACTAATCTTGGGTCAAAGACTTACTGATACAAATATTTTTATTTGGTCTTCAATCTCATTTAGTGATTTTAACCATACTTGTGTATACAATCTGAACAGAAGTCCAAAACGTGCTAGTGTTAGAAAGAAACATGATCATGATGATGGAATTTATGGTTGGCTAAGTCACCGTAACCCATTTTGCCTTGGTGGGTCCTTACACTGTGATGAGCGGCATTCATCCCATCCCCATCATGGTGATTCTTAGTCTGTCATCACCGTTGTCGCATTCGTTAACGTTGGTTAACAAAGTGGTAAACCTGGTTGACAATTTAGGCATTTGGCTACATTTCCAGGTGAGCTATAGTTCCTTGTATCTTTTCATGTCATACTAATTTGACTCGATGATGATCCCTCCACAGGTCACCATCCTGGAACTTCAGAACAGAGTAGGAGGCCGTGTCAAAACATTCAGAGAACCATTTGCTAAAGGCCTACACGCGGAAGGTGTGTGCATTGATTTTTAGAATGAGTTTTGATTATTCATCAATAATTTAACAACGATACTTCAGTTTATCGCAATAGAATAAATTACTAAACTCTCACATCCTTGCACAAGTAGTAGAACCCACGGAACTCACTGACAGGACTGAAACTGATGTAATTAACTACACTTTTGTTTGCTCATTTGATGGTGTCTTGACCAACAAAATAATGACCAATTTGACAAGTCTTTTATGTGTCATCAGATACTTTCATTAGAAACAGAATGCATACAAATTTGTTAACCTAAGCACGGGGGGCCAATTCCACCCTAAGTACCATGAAGGAGATTCTGTAAGACTAATATAGGCGTTACAGAACCCAATCAAATCAACCAGGCACCTATACATCCTTCTTGATTTCAATGGAATTTGCAATTAGGAACCCGATTACTTTAATACTATTCATTCCATATCATTATGCCTATACATCATAACCTTTATTCATAACTTTCGTTGCCATAGAGTTTTGTTTTTGAGCAGGTGGTGCAATGCGGCTGCCGAATTCACACTACCTGACTCATCACTACATAAAACTCTTCAACATTAAAACACGGCCATTCCAAAATGTAAATAAGAAAGGGTTTTTCTACTTCTACGGTGATAAGATTAAGATGTCAGGTAAGTAGTCAACAATAAGTATGTATATTGAGCTACCTGATGAAAAGGATTGACAAATTTTACATCCCCATTTCGTCGCACAGTAAAAACACTTGCGTTGAAAACCGTCATGAACAAGCCATGACATGCGAGACATGCAGGTCATTCATTTTAAGAGAAAATTTGTTGAACAAACCCCAATAATCATTCAGGTTTTCCTGAAAGAAGAATACAAGTCATCAATAATCTAAGAAATCCGGAAAAGTCTGTGAAGACATATTGACATATTGTTGACATCACAAGCAGACGTAGACATTCAAAAAAGCTCTATGCAGGCTGAAACATTGGAAAGTGTTGTTATATTATAAAAGAATATTGTTTAATAAACAAGTAAACGGAAGAAATCAATTCATCTCTACACAAGTCTTAAAAGTAAACTATCTATTTAACGGTACATCTAGTAACATTGGACATTTACATTAAATAGTTTAATTCGGTTTGTATTTAACATCCACAAAAGTAAAATAAAAAGTAAATCTTTGCTCTAGATTGGGATACGGATCCAGGATACTACTGCAACAAGTACTGGGAAGGATGGGACAAAAATCTCACCCCAGAAGAGAAAAAGACCCTCTTGATCAACGACATAGGTAAATAATTGATAGTTATAACCTGGATGCTGTCATTCCCCCTAATCCCACCCTCATATAATTCTCCCGTCGGTGGGATGATTGTAACAAATGTCGTACCACCCGCAACAGCTTACCTGGAACAAAGCATGCTCCCGTAGCAGTTAGTGCGTTGATTCTAGAGCTGCTTGCATAAACTGTTAATCTGGCTAGCCCCGAATCCTTCTTGTTGATTACTATCAGACTGTCTAACTGCAATCTATGCAAGCAGGCACACAGCAGGAAGGCCTCTATCTCACTCAGAAATTGGGTCACCACAACATACCATAGAATTTCCGGCTTGGAGCATATTCCTAATCACACTTGAGGGCTCAACGACAGTCAACGCCCTCATTCGAGATTGCTGCACCCATGTCTCGCTGGGATCCCGAAAATACATTAACCAGTAGGAGAGAGAGGTCATGCCAACGCAGGTGTATTCTGTGGATCGTTTAGAGAGCTGAGCTCGCTTGTCATTTACTACAGGTTCTCCGCCGTATGGAGACGGATCAGTACTATCAGAGTCAGTTCTGTTGATAAACTGTCTATTAATCCTGCCGCTCACGTTGAACAAATATTCAACTTCTCTGAATTGGAGAAAGGTGCGTTAGAAGTCGTAAGTGATCTTGGTCCAGGGTTTTATGTGCACTTCTTCTAATGGCCCTATCACACATAAACGTTTTAGAGTAACTTGCACGTAGTATGTAAAAGACAGGTAGTACGCTGTCATACGTCGAGCTTTCATCGAAAAACCATGATTTTGGCGTATACATGACGAGTTCACCGTATATGCAACGTATGTCTAACGTATTAGTGCGTATCACTGACTTATACATAACGTATGACAACGTATGAGAGCGTATTGCCAGCGTTCGCCTGGAGTGTTCAACGTATGGTCAGCGTATGTATACCGTATCACTACCGCGCTCAGCGTAGGGGAAAGGTGCCCAAAACGGGCCCCGCGGTACTATAACTAGTGGTGTACATCCATTCATCAAATAACTTCAGTCTTCGCTCTGTCAACATCATCAAGATGCCTCCCAAGGCGAAACCAGACAGGGGCCGAGCAAGAGCCAAGAAGACCACACCTGCACCTGCTGTACAAGATCCTTAGGAGGAAGCTGGAGAAGCTCCTGTGGAGGAAGCTGTAGAAGTTCCTGCGGAGGGAGCCGTCCGCTCGCCCTCACGGCGAGGACCAAAAAACATTTCCTTGACTATGCCAGAGGAAGAGACCAAGTTGGAGTTTCTCGATGAAAGTCCAGTACTCTGGAATGTCAAGATGACCGATTACAGGAGAGTCGACAAGAAAGCCAAGCTTTGGGAGGACCAGGCCACGCAGATGGGCAAGATCTCGCCTGAAGTTTGGATCAAGTCCAGGTTGGGGTTCCTCAAGACTGTAACGAGACACTGTCCTGAGCCCTGCTCCAGTTTCAAGGCCACTAATTTGGCGCACGTGGGTGACCTGCGCCGAACAGCAAGGATGATGATATCACGCCCTCCCCTTCCACATCCAAAGTGCGCAAAGGCAAGTGGCCACAGGATGACGATCTCTTGCAGTCACGCCAGAAGAGAGTCCACGAGTCCGGTGAGATCCCCAAGAGCATCACCGAGTCCCACCAGCAGCCCATCATCTGCTCCCCCTTCTCCCATTTTCACGGATCTGGTAGTGTCAATTGTAGGATGTCATGCTGATGTTGGAGAATGGCTATTTCTTCTTGGTGCAGCCTCTCATGATCCTTCACCTTCATCTTCTATGATGTCTCCATCAGAAGTAATGTGGGGGTACGGACCTGGACCCAATATATACAGAAACCCCCCCAAAACGCTAGTACTACGGTACAAATACGCAAACTTAACGTTAGAAACACGTTTAATAAGTTATTTTGTCGTCAGACGTACGTCTAATACGCCATACACTTTGGGTGTATACGTTATACATACGTTGGACATACGTTAGAAGTAAGTTACGCATACGTTATCAATACGTTAGCTGTACAGTACACTTTCAGCCAAATTGTCGACGTATATCAGCGTATAGGTAACGTATATCTGGCGTATATAAACGCATGTAGAGCGTACCTCTAACGTGTGCCTGCGTATAATTCATAAGTTCCCATACGCCTAAAACTTTGTGCATGCACAAACATGTGTTTAAGCCTCGGCGTACTACAACATATACCAGCGTGCTTTTAACGTATAAAACTTCCACCTAACTTATCCATACTGTGTTTCAGCGTTGTCGGCGTTTTGGCAAATATTCTCATACGTCGCCACACGTTACTGCTATACGTTGTACTCACGGTTGTGGTGTGACAGGGCCATTACTACCAACATGTGTCTTGACGGAAGGAACTGATGATGTCGTTAGTGGGAGCACCTATTCATTATCTTGGTCAGCATGTGCACTCTTACATGGGTGATTCACATGCTCCTAAGTGCTCTCACAACCTCTGCCCCAGTCAGTGTCCAGGACTTACGTTATGTAGTGAATCTCAAGAAATAGGAAACATCCGAGCACAACAGCTGATTTCCTTGGTCAGGAAGTTGGTCTGTTGAATTTCATCATGTATTTGCCGCCAGTGCAAACAAAACGATACATTGAGCCTGTGCTAAATGCTTGTTTGTTCTTTAGCGCTGCAATATTCCAGCTATATGACTGTGGTCTGTAAATAATCAAATCGAATCCCATCACAATCCAGTGATTGACATCATGAGCATCGATCTACGCTATTTGGATACGATGACATGCATCAACCAAGTCAACGAGCCTAACCACCTGATCCCGTTAGTCGCCTCTTGCGACAAGCATGGGTTGCTGAAGTTCAATTCTAACCTGGAATCTTCACGGGACACTTTAGTTGGGATCGAGCTGTTTTAGTCAAGACCTTTGATGGTGCGACGACCCTTTGTTTGGGTTTTGCATGAGCGGCTCAACACTACCTTTGAAGGTTATCCACATGACTCGTCGTATGGTCTGGTCAGATTATGAGGCCCTGAACGATATCGGACGGCGTTGCTGATGCCCCCGTAAGGCACTACATAATTAGTTTACTCTACTTTGCGAATTTGTTGCCAGCTGTTTAAATTCATGAAAGATCCGGGTTAATATTCGAGTTATGTTTGTAGCTGATTGTGTGCGTGATATTATCTGAGTTGAGATAACCCTATTAGGTGTATCTTGAAATATTACCAAGATTAACCATATTTGTACATGTGTACTGTTTTAGACTCGTACTGGGAAAAAACGATTGAGCCACTAAAGCAGGAACTAGTAAGCGATATAAGTCCCGCAGGCTGGAACACCTGGGTTGAAAAGTGGAGCAAGATGTCAGTGCAGGAGTTTCTTGAAACTGACATCCATCAGGACTCAAGTGAACATCGCCTGAGACCATGGCCCCTGATAGCCATTGAAGCCTTAAAAGTCCACGACTATTCTCCCATGTTCGACTGTAGCTTGGTGGAATATCTCCGTGAAATCATTGGCGATTGGTGGAAGGATCCTCTGTCCACCCCTGCTGAAGGTCTGGATACAGTGGCGTGGGCCTTCATGAAGAAGAACACCTGCGGCTGGAATCCTGATGTGAACCTCAGTAAGGACATACAGTATGGGATAAAGGTTCTTTCTGTTGAACGGGTAAGGATAAACACAAACTAATTTTGAAATTATAGTATTGCAAAGTATCTCTTGTTTAGGTCAGTGTATAAGGTACATGGTCAGAAGTGGATTTGTTATGTATGACTTTTAAGTTTTGTGCTCCTTTGATCGAGAATTATTTTGTCAACATTCTCAGTACTTTTTTTCTAGATTTGTTTTGCAGTTGATAATGTTTGGTTTTCATGTTAAACTCACCTCACAGGCAATCGACAAACTCTCATCGCATTTACACTCAACGTGGAAATTATTTACTATTCATTTGGCACTATGTATTTACTTCCAATAAAAGATGTTGAACATTGTTGTTCAGGATAAAATATTTAAAAACGACCAAATCATCAAAAATACGCCATGCTGCGAATGGAATAGTATGAAAAAGATTGCCATAGCTTTGAACCAGTTTGACGTGAACACCAGACATGCTCAGTTAGTTTGCATAGACTTCATATTTGGGTTTGGGGCGTTACTCTTGTGAAAATATTTTCCCAGAAAATGGTGATTGTAAATAATTTAACCTCAGGTTTTTACACAAAGAAACATCGTTCACTCACAGGATGTTGAGAAACATAATGTAGTGTAGGTCCAAAAACAATTGCGTATTTAGAACAATTATTTTGTCTCAAATATAATTCCAAGCCGGTACGTTACAGGAATAGAAACTAAAAAATTCAAATAATATCAATTGATCGCAGGTTGGAGATCGAGAGGTGAAGGTCGTTGGTCAAAATGTGACAAGCCAACAGCAGCATGAGTTTACTGGCGACGCCGTCATCCTCACTGTGCCACTGACGGTGCTGAGGAACATGGAGGTCGATCTGACCATAGAGAAACAACGTGCCATTGCGAACGTGCGTTATGAAGCGTCAACAAAGATATTTCTCCAGTGTAAAACCCGTTTCTGGCAAAAGCCGGATGGCTTACAGGGAGGATTTTCAAAGACAAACCTTCCTATTGGTAAGTTTGTCTGAACGAAAATGTATATAAGATAGTGTGTAGAGCCAAATATGTTTATTGCTTTCTCTGACTGCTTGTGTTGTTTTATAGTTCTGTTGTTCTATGAACAAAACCTTATAAAACCTTTCTTCAACCCATTATGATCACATAAATGAACAAGTTTTACTGTTGTCTGTTTCCAGGCCATCTCCACTATCCCGATTGGTCAGACTCGGGTATTTCTGCTGAGGAACGAGGAGTTCTCATGGTTTACACCTGGGGCCAGGATGCTCTCATCTTTGGGGCCCAAACCCACGCAGAAGCCATCGAGAACGCTGTGAAACAGGTCGCCAAAATACACAAGGAAATCACTGAGCAATTCGAGGTTGGTGCCGTTCAAGCCTGGTATAGCGACCCTACATCTGAAGGTGCGTTAGCATGCCTAAAACCAAACCAGTACAATATGTCCATGAAAGAACTCGTCAAATCGGATCACCCAATATACCTGGCTGGGGAAGCCATATCCTGGAGCAATGGCTGGATACAAGGTGCCATGCAGTCTGGTCTCAGGGCAGCGTATCAGTTCTTCTGCCAGAACGAGGAAACTGATAAGCACAATTATAAAAGGCCGCGCCCTGGCCAACGAGCAGGCGGTAAAAGGGCGAGAAGAGAATAGTTAATCACACATACAATGCGCTGGAAATGTTGTGAACTGCCTTTACTTATGTGTTTTATTGTTGGATATTTCATTTATGAGTAGTTTTCTATACCATGCACAGATAATACATTTGTCTTACCTTTGATTAACCTCTCGGCATCTTCCACACCTGTCTACGTTTAACAAAGTCATAGATTCACAGGCCTATTATTCAGGTCCACTGTGAGAACAAATTCCATGTTGAAATGTTATATGCCCAGTATTGATTCCGGACAAACTGCTGGGAAAGCCGACACACATGTTTGTTTGATGATGCCATAAAAACGAAATATATAAGAATTGATTGTTCGATGTATTTGATACGTATACGGATACCATGGACAATGTTTAGATGTATACTTTCAAAAGACAGTATAATTCTTTCTTTTTATTATCTAACTATTACTACGCGCAGAAACAGGCCTCATACATTCGACATGGTCCGTGTGGGGAAACACATAAATATCGCGTAAATGTGACACGTTGCTTTATAAGAAGTGCATATTAAAAAGACATTTAAGAATTGACTTTCACTTTGTGTGAGTTCATTGGGGTATGAACCTTCTGATGTTAATATATTATTTTCAACTACACTTCAGTGATTCCGTCACGGATGGTGTTTAGTAGATGTGTTGCCAAATCGGAGTGACGATACTGTCTGTTGTGTCGGATGGTTTGACCCTGATTGGTGTGATTATGAGATGATACTACACTGAATATTTTAACGTTTGGGATAATTTGGCATATTTACTAAAGAAGTGATACTGCACTGAGCCTAGTTGCCTAGGAAACCCTTTACATGTATGATAAACAATAGGCTAACCGTATTTGTGGAAGAATGTAATAAAATATGATATCTCATACACAGGCTGGAGAACGTGGCTTTGGACCAAAATGCTTGGACACGATGTTCAAGGCAAAATATATAACCTAATCACAAATATATACAGTAACATATACTGAATCATGGTAACATATACTGAATCATGTAACTTGTACATGGTAACATGTCCCACTTTTCCCCGTGCTGAACTGGCTAACCTATTGAACACCAAACGCATATCTGTTATAAAAAAATATCGAAGTTCATTCATATTCCTGAATAGTCATTTTAGTGTAAGATAGATCATTGTGCTTCTTGTAGGTTAGGCTAGGTTTATACTTGTCCGCAAATAAATAATACGTTGATGACCCACAAGTTTACTTACTGTTACTGCATTACATATTTTCTGAAAAAATCTAACACTATTTGTACCATCTGTAGAATTCAATGTTTATCCGAAAAAGATTATCCACAACATTACAGTTTATCCAGAACCAATAAACTCAATCATTGTCTTTATGTACTTGTCATCTTGCTGTGTCATGCTATATACATCATTTTAATTGATTGTATTGCCCCTGTACCACCTAGAGTGAATAAAAGGGTGTTACCAACATTTGACAAATTCATATCGTTTTTAACATGTTCAATAATTATCTCATTGAAACAAACAACACTATGAAACAAAACAAAAACATGATAAAAACTATATGCATGATATATTGTTATCAAACCCTTTGTGATCGATATTCCTCACCATATCTGCCAACCACCATTTGAGCGTCTATACAACATGTTGCAGGAATATTAATTGGGTTTTGTCGTAACGACTTATTATGAGCTGATTTCGGAAGAGGATTTAGTGAAAATCAGTAAGAATGAATAAGGAGATGACCCAGTTAGCTTTCAGAGGAAGATTTGATTTAGGATTTAAGTTGAAAGTCAACGTGACACCCCCCCCCCCCCCCCCCCCCCCACACACACACCTCACCCACACCTCACAACCCACCCACACCACACCTCACCCACACCCACACCACACCTCACACACACACACACCACACACCTCCTCACCCACACCACACCTCACCCCACCCACACCACACCCCACCCACACCTTACCCACACCCACACCCACACCTCACTCACACCTCACCCACACCAACCCCACACCCACACCCACACCCACACCTCACCCACACCCACACCACACCTCACACACACCACACCAACACCTCATCCACACCACACCACACCTAACCACCCACACCCACACCACACCTCACCCACACCACACCCACACCTCACCCACACCTCAAACACACCCACACCTTACCCACACCCACACCTCACCTCACCCACACCTCACCCTCACCCACACCCACACCCACACATCATTCACACCACACCCACACCTCTCCCTCACCCACACCCACACCTCACTCACACCCACACCACACCCACACCTCACCCACACCAACACCCACACCCACACCTCTCCCTCACCCACACCCACACCCACACCACACCCACACCTCTCCCTCACCCACACCCTCACCCACACCCACACCTCACTCACACCCACACCACACCCACACCTCACCCACACCCACACCCACACCTCACTCACAATTCTTTCCGTGACGCGGTCGACCACTTACAGTGAGGTGACAAAAACACTGCGGTGAACTTCAAATATCAGACCAGACGAAACCAAGCACATATGCGAGTGGTTAAAGCTATCGCGCGTCACGCCGGAGACCCGGTTTCAATTCCCAAAATACCTTTGAGTATACATGTACCTTTGATATTCGTTAAAAGATCACAGCCATAGATGTTAGATTTTGGCACCATTCTTTGCCAGATTGTGACTTGACAAGGTCTAAGTAATTGACTCAGTGTGGTCTCAGCGAATTGAAAGTGTGTATTGCTTGACTGAAACATTTATCAATTTGCGGTTTACTTGAGGGATAATATACTGAACCGCAAAAGAAACGTCACCATGGAAAGATATATGAGAAACCTTATTTGTCCAAACACTGCAAGCATACTCTGAGACATATTAAAGAGATGAAACTTGGCAAAACTGCTCATCAAGATTGAAATTAAAGTGTCAAATGTTCTTAAAGTGAAACACAACACTAGTCTCTGAGAAAACGGCATCACAAGTCAATATCTCGTATGTCCGCCATGTGAATTGATGGCTGCCGTGCAACGTGGATACATGGAATGGATGAGACGGTTGATGAAGACAACAGGCACTTGAGTCCACACTCTGAGGAACCCATGACGCAGTACAGCTGCAGTTGTCGGCCTTGGTCGGACGTCATTCAGCCGTCTTTAAATCTCGTCCCACAGGTGCTCAATGGTATTTAAATCGGGACTGAGGGCAGGCCACTGTATGGTTCTGATGCCATTCTGCTTAAGGAAGTCTCTTGTTGCTCTCGCAGTGTGGGCACGGGCGTCATAATGCTGAAACTCGTGGTTGCGGCGACGTGCCAAATGAGGTATGGCGTATAGTCTCAAGACTTGATGAATGTACCGAGCTGCTGTGACACCATTGTCTCTCCCTGGACCGATGTTCTGGAAGTCCACAGAGCCGACCCTCTGTGCAAGAACAATTCCACCCCACACCATGATGCTCGGACCACCCCACGAGTCTCTCTCATCAACACAAGCATCCGAATAACGTTCTCTACGTCGTCGCCAGACCCTCTCTCTGCCATCGGCTGTTGACGGCAGTAACGGCTCCCGTCCTAGAAGAGGACTCTTCTCCATTGTTGGTGGCGCCAATGTTGGTGCTGTGTTGCCCACTGAAGACGGTCCCGGCGATGACGTGGTGTCAGAATGAGTCCTCGGTGTGGTCTGTGACTGTGGAGGTGTCTGCTCGTCAATCGTCGACGCACGGTGTCCGCAATAGTGTGTCGCTGGTGTGTCCTAATGGTCTGTCGAGCAGTTTCCGCAGCAGTAACAAAGCGATCTTGAAGATGCTGTCGCACAATCTGACGATCCTGACGTCGGGTGGTGACCCTTGGTCTTCCACTACGTGTTCGGTCATCTGTAGTGTTGGTGATCTGGTACCGTTGTTGGCGCCTGTTAATGGTCCTTACGTGGACTTGAAATGCATTGGCTACGTGCCGAGCGGTTTGTCCAGCTTGCAATCGTCCAAGGGTTTGGTGTCGCTCATTTCTTGTCATTCTTGGAATGTGGTAGCAATTCAATAACGAATGAATGTTATCCGATCTGGGTGGATTTTTATAGGGCAAGAAATGGGGGAACGCATGTGCATTTCAATTTGCACCAAACTCACGTGCATCGGGTTACCATGGCCGTTGCCGTGATGCGTTTGGGCGATCGGTTTTATTGTCATCTGCTTTGGGGTTTTTATCATCAAATTTCATTTTTCCGGACAAGGTGATGTTAAATTTTAGAAACTTTGACAAATATTACCCAGACATTTAAATGACAACTTTTCATGCAATGTTACTTGGGGTGACGTTTCTTTTGCGGTTCAGTATATAATCGGCGTGTTCCACAATTGCATAAATGTAACGCCGCTTTAAAGGGGTGGGAATTCATATCATTATATATTCATTATTCATTTTTATCTCGCAGAAAAAAATAAGTTGCTTTATTCTTCTTTGTTACCCCAAAATAAAACATTTCCAGTCTTCTTCTGATTTTATTATTTTATTTTTGTTATTTAATTTAGTACGGACAATTCGAGTTATATCTTATCACCATTGACGATGAGTGAGTGAGTGAGTATTCTTTTAACGCTTTTAACAGTATTCGAGTTATATCGCGGCGTGTGAGCTTAATGTGGGAGGAAATCCCGAAGTGATGCCGGTCGTTTACCCCTTCGGTGAAACCCCACGAGAACGGGTATGGTACTGACAAACCTAGAAACATAATCGGGACGAGCTGGGATTCGAACCCACAATCACAGGTTTCTGGCGTGCCCAAGGGACGCAACTCCGCACAGCGAATCGCGGCGCCTTAGACGACAGGGCCACCGTGCCCCCACTGAATATTTTGACGTTTGGAATAATTTGGCATATTTACTAAAGAAGTGATACTGCACAGAGCCTAGTTGCCTAGGAAACCCTTTACATGTATGATAAACAATAGGTTTGCCGTATTTGTGGAAGAATTTAATACACACACACACACACACACACACACACACACACAAACACAAACACACACACACACACACACACACACACACACACACACACACGCACACACCATTGGCGCTGAAAATGACTCATTTATATATTTGAATAAAAGTGTACTTGTTATTTTGTTTGTTAGTGGGGTCCCGTGACCTGCCATTACAAACATATGGACCATATCAGGGCCTGTCTTAAAGAAGTTGTAGAACACCCACAACTATAAGATTTTATTTTGCAATGCAATCAGCCATGACTAATTAACCATAGTCTTCTTAACTTCTTTTGATAAGTATATATAGAGATTTTAACCTGATTTATTTCGAGCCATGATCCGCCACGCGTGAAGGTAACATAAAACTAAATACTTTATGATGTTTCAGTGTGTCATACTGTTGTCCGTAAATATTCTTCTTTTTATTTTTGATTTATGATCAGCTTGTATTGTGTCTCTTGTCTTGTGCAAATCTACAAGTATATGTACTTGCAGATAGTAATTTAATAAACACCGCTGTGAGTGAGGGAGAACGGTTTTACGTCGCTTTTTACAATAATCCAGCTGCGGGGAACACCAGAAATGGGCTCCGCACATTGTACCCATGTGGGGAATCGAACTTGGTCTTCGGCGGACGAGGGAATGCTTTAATCACTAGGCAACCCCACTGCCCCCGTCGCTGTGACGTTTATCACAGTTGACAGGTGTACTTATGTAAACTACACATAAGGGAGAGATATTATTAGAGACTCTATTATGATTAAAACCCACCTCAGCCTCCCCCCTCTGAGGTCAGGTTTAATGTTGTTTTACGTATATACTTTTTATCGTATAGAAACACATTACACATGCGACCACTATAGTTGCCAAGAGGGAATATTGCTATACCGCGAGAAAGCGACAGAGCGATAAAGCGAGAAAGCGATGTCTCCTCTCGGCCACCATACATGTTTGGGACTGGAAACTAACTTCGAGATAACTGTAACTGCGACACATCCGCTTCGACACTTCGGAGGTTTAATAATGATGAATAAAGAAGGAATACGCAGGCATCAAGCTTTCACTTCGAGACAACAGTAAGTTCGACACATCAAAGTTGGACACAACTGTGTTTGACTGTCGATATTACCGTGCCTAAATGATGATTACATGGTACATCCTGCAAATGTTTGATATTGTTACAAGGCAAACATAGGTGTTTGGCTAAACTATCCCAACCAAACATTTTGTGTTCGCTGGTTGGCGTGGCGATTTATTCATTTGGAATACTTTTATCATGATTGTTACTTCCGAGGGGGTAATTTGGGATGTTATTAGCTCACTTCCCATCATATGATGGTCGTTACCATTTAATTATTTACTTAAGGTTCAATTTCTTGTCTGAAGGTTCTATCAAAACTCTCTGACTCGTAAGGATGGGCAAGATCACAATAATATTGCAACGAC